ATCAAGTAATATCCCCACCCCCACCAAATGTTCCATTACTTCCTGCCAAAGAGCTGGAGATTGTAGCAACAGGTTAAGTGGTTTCAACCTAGCACCATCAAAGTAGCGCTTCACTACAGACCCCTTGACAATCAGTGGAGTTTGTAACTTTAGCTCTCCACTCTCATAAACTCCTGCCCCTTTCATGTCCAATTTTGTAAAAGAAACACTGTTAGGTATAGTCTTATACACCTGGGTTAAGCAGGGCTATAACTCTGCTTTAGTTTAGCTGCACTGTCACAGATGATCCCACCCACTTATCAAATCAAACCAATAGAATCAAATTAACATCAACAGGTTTGTGTCAGTCCCATCAGTCTCCAGCTCGAAGGAGATGAAGACGTATGATGGAGACACAGGCTGTGTCTCAATTCAGGGGCTGCAGCCTACTAGGCTGTGGCCCACGGAGGCTGCAGCCTATGCAGTTTGTGTAGATTGTATAAAACGGCTGTGAAATGAGACGGTCTAGCCTTCATGTGACCACAGGTTACTCATTTACTATTGTGTTACATTTTATATCACCTGCCTTCAAACTTAAAAATGCATTGGGACATAGGTTTTCACGTTTTTTCCTGGAGGAATAACTTCATAGTTAAAACATTACAAATTAATAAATAAAAAAATATCAATAATTTGGGTTTAGCACTGTCAGTACTTGTAACTGCATTTTATTTAACTGCTCATTGCAGCATAAATATCATCAGCTAAGCTGCTAAACTTACAATTAAAAAACGATTTCTTAGTCCGTGATTAATTTTCAAACTACACCAACTTGGTAAAAACACAAAAAACTCAGCCAGCTTTGTTTTTCTACCTTGTTTGCTGACGGCACAATAAATCCTGGGATATCCTTGGCTGGGAAGGATCCTCAAGTGTAGCCATATAGATACTGTATGTCTGTGAGGTGCAGCCTTCATCTTTGGGATTTCGTCGGCCACATGAAAAGGAGCCCACAAACTGGGCCAGCCTTCAGCGCGGGGCAGTAACATAAGCGGCCAACGAATGCAGACCCGGGAGGATGCAGCCCTTGAATTGTGACACAGCCGGAGTGATAGTTGTCTTAGTGGTTAGCGATTAGCTTTTGTTGTTAGCTTCTGCTTATATTTTATTTGTTGATAAGCTTTTGCTAATTTTTAAAATGTTTAGCATTAGCGAAGCTATACTTTTAGTTAGCATATGTTTATTTGTATCTTACTTAAATGAAGCAATTATTAGCCATTCAGTTTGAACACAATTTTATTGTAATGTTTAATTTGTGTTGTTCTATTAAACCATATCAAATGAGTTCAAACAATCTTGCAACATATTTTGATGGATAGGTGTGTGGTGCCTTATTTATAATAGATTTATAAAGTCTTGTGTATTTTTGAGAAAATCACATGATACATTTGTAAAATTCTAAATCTATAATAAGTAAGGCACATGCTGTGTTGATGTGCGTTCTCACTCCAGCCGAAGAATGGCGGTAGGCTCCAGCCAAGTGAGTACACCCAGACCGCCATAAGGATGAGGAGTGCCCGTTTCCGTGACAACACACCTATGGAGGTCAGAGGTCGCGTGATGACCACATAACGATCGATGGCAATCACAGTCAGCGTGATCATGGAGCAGATCCCAAAGAGAGCGCCGCAGAAAGCGTACAGCTCACAACCTGCAGAGAGAGAAAGAAGAGATATGTTTTTGCTTTAAACAGAATAAATCATCTCCTATTTTTCTCCAAGAGACTCTTTGTCATTTTATAAAAAGGCCCCAGACTGATGCTCTGCAGACTGAAACACAAACACGCTTTGTTTGAGCTGAAGCTTAAAGAACCTTCAAGACTTTAAGAAAGAGGACAAAGCTGAATCACAGGAACATTTTACTGTTTTTGTTAATAAACACAAATAAAACAAAAAGCACAAAGAAAAAATAAGTAGGTCCTCTGGATGGGTTCTTTTTTTAGTGAAACGTTTCGTCTCTCCTCTGAGAGACTTCTTCAGTCTGATGAGTTTCAGGTGAACTTAGCCTTATAAGCACTGCCTCCACATGGTGGACAAACAGGTTAGTCACATGCAAAAGAGGGCCGTTGCCTAACAATAGGCTTGATTAGCTCTATTGTTCATAGAGGACCATGTGCCCCATCATCTGACTTATTGGTTTGGATGCTTCAGCTGTGGTTATTTGGTGTTTTTTTATGTGTATGTCGTGTAGTACGTAGTTGTATGTAGTCTTTACGTGCATTCCTGTTGATAATGTGATGGTTATGGTCTGTGTAAGAATAAAATCAGACACCACTCAGCAGCGGAACCACTCTTTCCACAGAACAACTGTGTCAATTTGTGAAACTGTGCCTGGAATCAACCTATTTCACATATGGGGGCAATACTATAGTCAGAAACATGGGTGTGCTATGGGCTCCCCAGTTTCCCCTATTGTTGCAAACCTGTACATGGAAGAGGTGGAAAAGAGAGCTCTGATGTCCTTTACAGGGACACCACTGAGCCATTGGTTCAGCTATGTTGATGACAAAAATTAAATCCCAGGAAGTCCAACATTTCACTGATCACATCAACTCTGTGGATAAATATAAAAAGTTCACACGAGAGGATGTAAAAGATGGCAGGTTGGCGTTCCTGGATTGCGATGTCTCGGTTTCGGATGGAGGACGGTTGGAAACTGACGTGAATCGCAAACCCGTATTTGTGTTTTGATTCCCATCACCCACTGGAACACAAGTTAGGAGTCATCAGAACTCTGTACCACAGAGGAGACAGGGTCCCCACAAACACAGGAGCCAGTTAGAAAGAGAAGTCACACACAAGACAGGCCCTGGAGCAGTGCGGTTATCCAAACTGGGCTTTTCTGAAAGCAGACAAGAAACCCAAACAGGATTCCAGCCAACAACCAGGTGAAAATGAAGACCTTAAACCCAGACCAAAACCAGTCGTCGTTCCACATGCGGCGGGAGTTTCAGAGAAACTGAGACGCTTATTCTCTAAACATGACTTCCCAGTGGCTTTCAAACCCCAAAATACATTATGACAAAGATTAGTTCACCCCTAAGATCCAGTTCCCCAGCAAAAACAGAGTAATATAGTATATGCTGTTAAGTTTCAGGAGGACTGTGATCAGTTATACATTGGGGAAACAAAACAGCCATTGTTCAAAAGAATGAGCCAGCACAGACGAGCTACGTCGTTGGGTCAGGACTCTGCAGTTTACACTCATCTACAGGCCAGCAGTCACTCTTTCAGAGATGAGGATGTTCTCATTCTTGATAGAGAGGAACGTTGGTTTGAGAGAGGAGTAAAAGAAGCCATTTTTGTGAAGAAAAACCATCCACCATTAAACAGAGGTGGAGGCCTTTGTGTCCAGTTGTCCTCCTCCTACAGCACTGTTATTGCAAGTATGACTCAGCCCCCTGTGAGCAAAAGGTGTGAATCAGGGCCCCAACGATAACCAACACAAAGAAGGAAAGAAAGACAAAAACAAGGGGACGGTGAACCCCGCTTGCACTCACAACAAAACACCAAATAACCACAGCTGAAGCATCCAAACCAATAAGTCAGATGATGGGGCACATGACTCTCTATGAACAATAAAGTTAATCAAGCCCATTGTTAGTCGATGGCCCTCTTTTGCATGTGACTAACCTGTTTGTCCACCATTTGGAGGCAGAGCTTATAAGGTTGAATTTACCTGAAACTCATCAGACTGAAGAAGTCTCTTAGAGGAGAAACGAAACGTTTCACTAAAGAAGAACCCATCCAGAGGACCTACTTGTTTTTTTTTTCTTTTTGATTTTTTTTCTACCTGGATTACTGAGATTCATCAGGACAAAACAAAAAGCAGCTGCATCATTTAGTTACTTAAATTCTGAGCTAAAATTAAAATCTGAATAAACAAGTTCAGTCTAAATTCCTGGATATTTTTGACTGCAGCTGTTTCTATTTCTTATCTGTTTTAAGTTCATTTAGGCATTTTGCAGTTTTGGTGATCAAGCAATTGGCTGAGTATGTGTGTAGTCATTTGTTTGTCAGCAAAATATTACTTGAACCTTTGGACAAATTTTAATGAAACTTTTAGAAAATCATTACACCAGTTTCAAAAAAGTGTAAAATGTAAGTAAAAACAGAATGCAGGACATAAGGGGCGTGTCTGAGCAGTGGGTCTCTGGAAGCATCAGACAGGTACTGTTGCTTCCACAAAAGCTCACTCATGGGAGGAGTGTGGTGAGACCATGAAGGAAAACTACAGATATGATCTGGTATACCATCTAACACCTCAGGGTGGAAGGCAACTTGCTCACACTGTTTACAGTAGGGATGAGGATCTGCTGACTTCAGCTACAGTGGGAAGAATTATTTGAGAGGCTACCCAACAACACATCTATCTACAAACCAGAGTTTAGGGTGCTGGGAATGGATTGGACAGTCATAACTGCAGAACTTGCCAACGTGATAAAAAAATTTTGCAAAAAAGTCAGATCATCACTGTGGACAAGATCCATCCTGAGTATCTCAACCCTTTAGATGTTGTATGGCTGTCTTGGTTGAGTAATTTCTGCAACATTGCATCATCATTTGGGGCAATACCCATGAAGCAGCAGTTTGGGATGATGGTGCCCATTTTGAAGAAAGGGAACCAGATAATGCTCTAAATGTGGCAAGATCACACTCCTTGACCTTGCTGGAAAGTTCTCCTCTGGGGTATTGCAGAGGAGGGTCTGGGCAATAGTTGAACCTCAGCTTGAAAAGGAGCATGATGGTTTTTCTCCTGGCTGTTGAACCATGCAAGCTTTTAACCCTCTTTGGGGTGCTCGAAAAAGCATGGACATTTGCCCAATCAATCCATGTGTTTTGTGAATTTGAAGAAGGATTATGATTGAATCCCCAGGGTTATCCTGCACAGGGTGCTCTAAGTGTATGGGGTGGATGACTCTTTACTATGGACCATTCAGTTTGAATAGCAAATAAGCGTAAGATTGGTTTGGGTTAAGTCACATCTGGTGTAGACTCTGGAGTGCCCTTTGTCACCACTTCTTCACATAACTTCATAACACCAGGAGGTAAAGGATGTTTGGTTTGGTGATGAGAGGATCTCGATTCTGCTTTTTGCAGTTAATGTGGTTCTCTTAGCTTCACCCAGCTATGACATTCAGCTCTTGCTAAAGAGGTTTGCTGAGTGTGAAGTGTCTGGGGTAAAGATCAACACTTCCAAATCTGAGGCCCAGGTTCTCAGCTCGAAAAGGGTGGACTGCTCTCAGTATCCTCCCAGTAGCCGTGTTTCCATCCAATTTTAATGCGAATTTTAAAAATTTTGCAAAAAGGCAAAAAACAAAGAAATGCGAATCAGACGTGTTTCCATCAATTGGCTTGAAGAGAATCAGTTACGTCAGACGCATGCATGTAGTTAACAGGAAGTAAAAGTCATATCTCAGGAAAATGGAGAAAAGTTATCAGGAACGTGTTGCTCCTATCGGGAAAATTGCAATTATTCTGTCATCAACTAGTTTTGGCAAAGTTACACGCTGTCTGGAGACGTAGAGAAAGAAACGTGATTCTTTTCACGTTATGGGATTAACTGAGAAGATGCCGAGAGCGGGAGAAGGCTCCAGCTGCAGTCGCTCTGGTATCTGTACCGGTACCGTTCAGACAGCGAGAACAGATCAACCATGTGAGGTAAATGTTCGCTACGTCAGAACTTATTCGACAAATGTGTTTCCACATCTCCTTTTGTGCATTAACTCTTTTTCGAAAAAAATAAAAAACCCACCTCAAGCGAGAGTTTCAACTTTTATGCGAATTAGAGGAAGTTTTTTTAAATCATGCCATTTCCATTCACCCTTTCTGATACGATACTTCAAAATGTGCATGAAAAAACATTGATGGAAACACAGCTAGTGTCCTCCCACCATTTTACTTGAATTTAGTGAGAGTTTTTTGTTTCTTAGTCAAAAAAAACTGTAACACATTGTCTAATGTCTACATGAAAGTTAACATTGGAAATAGCTTTGTCTGAGATCTGCATGATGATGGAGGAAACAGAATGAAATAATTACAAAAACAGCTCAGTCAGTACTGAAACTCTGAAGTTGACTGGTCATGGCTTGAAAAAACAAAAGAAAATGGCAAGATATAACTACTGAGATAAATCAATTTCCTCCGAGTAACAACCCAGAATGAATGCAAACAATCAATGTAAGAGTGTGAATGCTGATGCAGCATTTACATGATTGTTTTCCTTTGTTTTGTTAGGGGTGGCAGGGGTGTGTGTGTTATTTGCAGACTACCTACTGAGCATTCAGATGCTTTTGCTACTTTTCTATTTTGCCATTTCTAGATTTTACTGTCCTGCTACATTTAGATATCAGTTTGCTGCTTAAAGCTGGTATTTTGCTCCTATGAGCTTTTAGGAAGTATTGTACTTATTTAACTTTTAATAACTTACTTTTAGCCTTCTCGGTTAATTTCAGCATTCATTAAGCACTCAGCATTTCCACTGCATTTTCACAGAAAATACAGTTTTCTTTTTTAGGTTTGTTTTGGTTTTGATGTAGAAAAATAAGAAGCTGTTCATAAATCGTACTCAAATGATTGTGATGTTCTGATTATTACCTTTCTCTCCAAAGATCCACCTCTTGTGCATGCTGGTTGTGAAGAAGATGGGTGACTGGGTGATGCACATCAACAGGTCAGTGATGGCCAAATTAATGATGAACATGTTGGCTGGTGTTCGCAGACTGCGACTCCTGCAGAAAACATCAGCAATGAGACAAAACGTCCTGCAATAACGCATTCAGTAACCATTAAACTATGCAAGCAGTTTCTCCAGGTCATTTATCCATGCAGGTGGAATATGACCTAAATAAACTAACAAGCTGCAGCTATTTTATTTATTTGTACTAGTGGGTTATGTTTTACTGAAGTACAAAGTTCTCCCTGTGGGACTCAGATTATTCTGTTTATTGCTTTAAAACAATTTGTCAACAAAATATACTTTACAGTAAAAAATATCAACAACAAAACATTTTATTCATAAATTTATTACTTAACATTTTCTAAAATATCTGTGAAATAGAATATAGTAAATATATGATTAAGGCCCAGTTGGTGTTCCACAAGTCTCACCTCTTGGGCCCCACATTTTTTACTGTACATATCAACAAATAATTTTTAAATAGAATTTTAAATAATTCATAATTACATTTTTTGCATCTTCGTAGAAAATCAAGGATTTTCATCAGTCCTTGAGCCTATAGGGTGTTCTGAAGCACTAGAACACCCTAGGTTGTAGATCAATGATTGACTTTGTAGTCATGTCATTTTATCTGCAGCCATACGTTTTGGACACTCTGGTGAAGAGAGGAGCAAAGCTGTCAGCTGATCATCACCTGGTAGTGAGTTGGATCAGATGGCGGGGAAAGATGCCGACAGACCCAACACGTGTAGTAAGGGTTTGCTGGGAATGCCTGGCAGAACAACCCATCAGAAAGAGAACTTTAATCCCAGCTAAGGTGGGGGACACTGAGTGTGAATAGACAGCTGGCAAATTGGGTCACAGTTCTGGCCGTTGCCGAGTCAAAAGCTTGGATATGGGAGGAGTTTGGTGAGGTCTTGGACAAAGACTCGTGATCAACTCTGAGAAGATTCTGGCAAACCACCCGGCGGTTGAGGCGGGGGAAGTAGCACTTTACTAACACTGTGCTCAGTGAAGGTGGGGTGCTGTTGACCTCAAACAGTGATGTTGTCGGGAGGTGGAAGGAATACTTCTTAGACCTCCTCAATCCTACTGGCATGTCTGCCATAAAGGACGCTGAGTCAGGGGATTTCGACATTTGTTTGTCCATAACCAGGGCTGACCAAAGTAGTTAAAAAGCACCGTGGTGGAAGGGCTCCAAGGGTGGACCAGATCTACCTTGATTTCCTTAAGGCTCTGGATGTTGTGGGGCTGTTTTGTTTGACACATCTTTGCAACATCGCATAGACATTAGTGCCACTGGATTGGCAGACTAGGGTGGTAATTCCCCAGTTCAAAAGTGGGGACTGGAAGATGGGTTTCAATTAAAGGGGCATCACAGGGGTACTGAGAGTCTGATCAATGGTCAAACCTCAGATTTAGGAGAAACAATGCGGGTTCCATTCTAGCAGTGGAACACTGGACCAGCTTACTAGGGTCCTTGAGGGATCGCAGGAGTTTGCCCATCCAGTCTACATGTGCTTTGTGGGTTTTGAAAAGGAATTCAACCATTTTGCTCGAAGTACACTGTGAAGGGTGCTCCGTGAGTATGGGATTGTGGTCCTGTTGTTACGGGCCATTCAGTCCCTGTACAAGTGGTGTAAGAATTTACATTGCTGGCAGTAAATTGGACCCCTTCAGAGTGGGAGTTGTCACTGATTCTGTTCATAACTTTTGTGGACAGTGCAGCCAGGAGGGGAAGGGAGTCTGGTTTGGTGGCCTCAGGGTTCCATCATTGCTATTTGCAGATGATGTGGTTCTGTTGGCTCAAGCTGCTGCCTGATTCTGGAACAAGCAGCATGTGATGTATGGATGGATTTCATTAGAATATACAGCACAACAGAGATAGTCAATCCTGTTCCTCGAGGTCCACAGCCCTGCATGTTTTACTTGTTTCCCTTCTCTGACACAGCAGATTCAGTCAGTGAATTACCTGTCTGTGTTTCCTGTCTGCTTTCAGGAAAGCCCAGTCAGGATAACCACACTGCTCCAGGGCCTGTCGTGTGTGTGATTTCTCTTTCTCCCTGGCTCTTTAATCTGCAGACAGTTCAATGTCACGAGACACAGGGAGGAAGAGGTGAAGAAGTGACTGTGAGTCAAACAC